ATATATATATATATATATATATATATATATATATATATATATACATACTCCAAAGCCGTAACTAAACATATTTACTGTAATTACTAATCTAGAAATATGGTAATCAAACTAACAAATGACATTGTTATGTGGTAATTTTATCAATTTTTTTCCCTAATTGTTCTTTTTTCTATGTGTGCTCACTGATTGAAACTGTTAGGAGTTTGGATTTACCATGCTCTAAAAACAGATAAGAAAGAGTAAGATAATTTTGCATTTCATCATGAGTAGAATTATTGAATTAACGAAATTTTAATTTTTTATCTTTTAACACTTTATGGCTATAATATGAATTGTAATAATAAAAATTCTTTTAGGAAACTTCAAGTGTAGTACTATTATTTTCTTAGTTCAATTTTATTTTCTTTTTCTTCTTTTCTCTCTGATAGTTTCGTTTCTTTTTTTGTAGTCCAATGACACTTTAAATAAAATATTATATTATTTTTGGCTTTTACATTTTACAATCTACATTATATTGTACTAGATTATATTAAATTATTTAGAATGTTGTTGGATTATGCTACTTGGGCTTGGGTTTGGGCTTAGGCGGGTACGGGGGAAGCGGGGACGGGGATTAGAAATTTATCCGCGGACGGGAATGGGGATGAAAACTATACCTGCTAGCAGGGATGAACTTAGTTTTTTTAAGCGGGTATGGAGATGAATACTGCACTCCCCGCCCCCGCTTCGGTCCACTGACATCTCTAGAACATATCCAATAGATACTGTATTTTCACTCAATTCTTTATTATAAAGAATCAACCCTTAAATTTTTTTTCTCAAATTGACTCTTTATTTAGACTCTCTAAAATAAATAGTCCAATTTAACTCTCTATATTTGGAGAGTCAAATTCATTCTACTCTATTTTTTGGAACCAAAAATGGATGTATATTTATCTTTTTATCCAAGACATTCAAGATAAATGTATTTCATTTAAAATAATGGAATAAAAATAAGGTATAAATCAAATTTATTGCTAAAAAGGATAATATAAAATGATAATAATGTAGAAGGTGTGTAAAAATATACTCTCTGATATAATTTTTTTTATTAAAAATGCTCTCAAAAAATAGAGAACACTGTTGGAGTTACTTTTAATCGTTATAATTTGTGAATACTATATATTGAAAGCCAGCAAAATCTCAAGGGCTACACTTGGTTGTTGAGGAATTTTCCTCAGCTATTGGTGCTGCCAAAAGTATGTTTGAATTACATAATCTTAGCTCAATTTTTTTAGTATGTATATGTTTGTGCCCGATTTTCCTAAAGAAATATTCGAAAACATAACATTTGTTGGCCCGACATTTATACTAGTGCACTGACTTGATCCGATATGTGTACACCCAAGTGCAGACAGTCAAGTTGTAGTAATAATCTTGTTAAGTCCAGAGTCATATCCACAGGGAACTATAATTAGTGTTTTGAAGTAGTAGTGATAGAGACCAAGTAATTGGAAACCTTGAGAGTTTGAAGTTATGAGATTTCCTGAATAGAATATAAGATTCTTTCCAAGAGTTTTTTAGACAAAATATAAGATAAATTCAAATGTAAACAGTCGCCCTTTAGTTCGAGGATCAGAACATGTAGTTAATCATCCGATTTATTATACTTGTACTTTATAACTCAATTAACCCCCCGTGTCAACAGCAAGTTAATCGGAAGATAAAAATGAACTTTGAAAATTAAGCACATGGTTCCGATGCTTTTTTAGAAGTTTACAAGAATTGTTTGTGCCGAGACTCAACCCATCTACAAATAAGCAAGTGTTTCTACAAGATATCCAATCATGGCATTAATGTTCCATTTTTAAGATAAAAGCACAATAATGGTGAAAATTGAAATACTGTCATGAATATCTAGCCGGGGTACTTGTCTTGAACCAACGAGTCTTTCTATGCAAGAGTCATCCGTGACATAGAGAGAACCCACAGTTATACTAAGTACCTTAACTTTGCTAGATGCATTCAATCATTCAATAAACAATTGAAATATAAAACATTAAAATATAAAGGAAATGCACAAATATAACTTCCCGATAATTTATACATATTCATCACCTTTTACTAAATAGTGAATGAGGAACTACTCACTTTTCATGTCTTGGGTAAAACTAGAAAAATGAGTGATGTTCATCCCTCCAAGTAGAGAACTTACAAGGTAAAATACAATAAGTGAGGAGCCAATCTTCGACAAAGAATGAGTGAATCACGTTCCACCCTTCACGGCTTTGATAAATCTCCAGAAAAATGAAAATGTTTCACTCCTCTAAGAAAGACGGAAGCTCAAGCAATGGAAGTGAAAGACAGTAAATGAAAGTGAAAAAAAGCTAGAAACTTTTGGAAGGCTTCCACCGCAATCAAAAGAGGATCTATCTCCCTTGATACAAGTAAATATAAAACTAAGTCTAAGACTAAGTATATAAGTGGGAATCTAAGCCTACATCTAGCTCTTGACTAGTTTTTGGTATAGTCAAAGCCTTACAATCCAAGTAGTAGTCTTTTACAAGAACTCCTCCTCCAAAGGGAGTATTTATAGGCAAGGAAGAAGAGGGGGAAGACAAGAGAGTGTGAAGGAATAGTGTAAGTGAAAAGACAACTACTCTGCAGCCTGCTTGTGGAGAACGTTTGAACGTGAGTTGGCGTTCGAACATTGTATCTGTTTTTTCTTTATGGGCGTTCGAACTTTGTATGGCGTTCGAACGTTTCTTCTATCTTTGCATTATGGGCGTTCGAACGTCAAATGGGGTCTGATCTTCTCACTCAAGTGGCCTTTGGTCTTCTGTGAAAACCTATTTCCACCCTCCATGCACATTTTGGCGTTTTGCACTCATCAGTCTGGTCTTCAATCAATTCAACTGGACGTTCAAACGTGAGTTGGCGTTCGAATGTGGTACTCAAGTACCTCAGAGTCTTCCTTCTTGGCTGCAGCACGCCATGTCTCAACCGTCTGGTCTTCAATCCATTCAAGTGGACGTTCAAATGTGAGTTGGAGTCGAACGTTCTTGGCTTGGTCCAAGCTTTTCTAATTTTTCTCCAGAATATGCTGGTGTTGCATGAAAGTTTGATACTCATTGCCTTTAGTTCCTTGTACAATTTATGGCCTGAAATGTCATCATTTAAACTCCATCAAAGTATAATTAGTCTTAAAAGAGTATAGTAATATGCTAATTTTAATCACTAATCATGCACAAGACAATGACATTTATCTAAGTCAGTCCTATCAAGTAAAAATTATATTACACAAAAATGCAACCCCAAACTTGCGTTTATCATATTTTATTCTTTGGAAATAGCTAATTCTTGCCATCCAATAATTTTTCGTAGAATGGTTACGTGGCAGGTGAGGTAAAGTTGCAAATATAGAATGAATTTTAATAATGCTATTGTGACCTATAATGAAAACATAAAATGGAGGCTTAATGAGATGACATGGGGCATAGATTTGCCACCTCTTTAAAATTTTGCCAACTAATTTACTTATATTCTGACTCTTTAAATTTTTCGCAATTCTTTA